TGACTTGTGTAAGGGGTATTGGCAAATCCCCTTAGCACAAGACGCCATCCCTAAGTCGGCCTTTGTCACCCCATTCCGCTTATACCAATTTAAAGTCATGCCGTTTGGGATGAAAAACGCCCCGGCTACTTTTCAGCGGATGGTGGACCGCCTCCTGGATGGGTTCCAAGATTATACCTGCGCTTACCTCGATGATATTGCCATTTTCAGCAATACCTGGCAGGAACACTTGACCCATATAGGAGCGGTCCTAGACAGGATTAGGGCCGCTGGTTTAACCCTGAAACCAGCCAAATGCAGCATAGGCATGGCTGAAGTACAGTACCTAGGTCATCGGGTAGGATGCGGCAAGCAAAATCCGGAACCAGCCAAAGTAGAGGCTGTAGCTCAATGGCCCACCCCTAGGACTAAGACTCAGGTGTTAGCGTTCCTAGGAACGGCCGGATACTACCGGAAGTTTGTCCCGAATTACAGTGCCCTGGCCAAACCTCTCACCGACTTGACCCGTAAAAACCTACCCCGCCAAGTAACCTGGACCCCGGAGTGTGAACAGGCATTTCAGTTGTTGAAAGATGCATTGACAAATGCCCCTGTCTTGGCAGCTCCCAATCCAACTAAACGCTTTCTTGTCCACACAGACGCTTCTATGTTTGGATTGGGAGCAGTATTGAGCCAAGTCGGGGCCGATGGCGGAGAACATCCCGTGGCTTACATCAGCCGGAAACTGTTACCTCGAGAAGTAAGCTACACCGCCATCGAGAAAGAATGCCTGGCTGTGGTGTGGGCCCTGAAGAAATTACAACCATATTTGTACGGACAAGCTTTTTCCCTGCTCACGGATCACAACCCGTTAGTATGGCTAAACCGGGTGGCTGGGGACAATGCCCGGCTGCTGCGCTGGAGTCTGGCGCTGCAGCCCTTTGACTTTAATATCTAGTACCGCCCGGGTAAACAGAATGGAAATGCTGATGGGTTGTCTCGACAAACTGACCTAGAGAAATGATCCGTGAGCCTCCCCGGACATCCCCAAGCCGATCCGTGTTGGATCAGACTGTGTATGCTGGCTTGTGGGCAAGGGGGAGCAGTGTAGCGGTTAGCACCAGGCGACCCTACAAATATACTGTTTTTACCTGCATTCCTGTATCTGCTGTATTTTCTATGTATTAAAAAGAATTGTATTCCTCTGGTTGTTCGGTAGTTTCATTCCCTTAGTTTATTCGAATGAAACTACCGAACAACCAGACCTCCCCTGTGTGAAGTGTGTCGTCCAGTTATTGGGATTGCTGTTGGGATATTGCTGTATTTTACCTGCTGGAAACCTTGCCTGTGGATTTACTATTTACTTGTTCCTGAGTCCCACTTGGATTATAAGCGGAGATACCCTGGGTAATATTGCATCTCCGCTACACCTACATCCCCCCAACTAGTACCCTGCACACATAAACCAACTGTTACTGTAACCTACATCCCCCAACTAGTACCCTGACCACATAAACCAACTGTTACTGTAACCTACATCCCCCCAACTAGTACCCTGCACACATAAACCAACTGTTACTGTAACCTACACCCCACAACTAGTACCCTGCACACATAAACCAACTGTTACTGTAACCTACATCCCCCAACTAGTACCCTGCACACATAAACCAACTGTTACTGTAACCTACACCCCACAACTAGTACCCAGCACACATAAACCAACTGTTACTGTAACCTACATCCCCCCAACTAATACCCTGCACACATAAACCAACTGTTACTGTAACCTACACCCCCAAACTAGTACCCTGCACACATAAACCAACTGTTACTGTAACCTCCATCCCCCCAACTAGTACCCTGCACACATAACCAACTGTTACTGTAACCTACATCCCCCCAACTAGTACCCTGCACACATAAACCAACTGTTACTGTAACCTACATCCCCCAACTAATA